AATCAACCTCGAATACTGGGGGAGGTATTACCTTCGGATATGCATTACCTTCGGATATCAACTTTAGCGAGGAAATTACTTCGTAAAGGAAGGGTTTCGATAGGTAGGATTTATTGTAAGGGCCAAACGGTCAAATGAACTGTGCCCACATAGATTGCTCGAGCCCTAGCATAAAACATATACGCATGTATAACCGTTTTGCACAAGAATAAAGAGAAGTACTTTCCTTGCAATCATCTTATGTTTTAAAAATTTCCTCTTTACATCCCTTAAAGAATTTTGTACTTCCGATCTCCTAAAGGTAATGAGCTCAAGGGTCACTTATGACCAGGGTACGAATGATCACTCCCTCACTCGGGGACTGCTCTCCGAAAACAAAACTCAAATGACCCAAGTCACTAGGCTTCGAGGGCATAAGACCTATTAGGCAACCCCCCGATTTTTGAAGGCCATGGCCACCCCACTCGGGGACTGTTATCTTGGGCAAGCCTGGATAGCTCGGGAAAGCAAGTCCAATGGGCAGCTCCCGAACTAAAAGGCTACGACCATATTAACACGGCTCAGAGACGTCCGAAACCCGTAACAAAAACTAGGCCTTCGAAAAAGAAAGTTTTTCATAACCGATTCTAAAGGCTACCCTCGGCAAACTATTATCTCGGCTACCTACTTTGGGAAAAGGTTTCCGGTAACACCGAACCCCCAAAATGCCTTAAAACAGAGTAATGTAAAGGCAAGGTTTGTTTGAACTTTTGAACATAACCTAAGTTATTTTATGCTAAGGCATTNACCTCAAAAAGATGCAAAAAATAAAAACATCTAAAGGCCTAAGTGGCCTAGTCCTCATCGGGGGCAGCGTCTTCATCCTCCGGATCTTCCCCGCCTTCAGATTCGGTTAAGCTCTCAGAATCTTCCTCGGAGAAAGCTAACTTTCGGGCCCTAGCTTCTTCTACTTTGGCATTCTCGATTTCCGCCAGTATGTTGAAGCTCTAAGGATGGACTCCTTCGAGGGCTTCCCTTCGAGCTTGCCACCTTGCATGCTCCACCATGCTTTTGGCCTGTGCCTGAATCGCCTCGACATCGACCTTGAATAGGGCCACTTTAGCATCGGCCTTGGTCTTGGCCACAACCACCTCTGATCTGGTCGCCTCGAGTTCCTTGGCCAGACTCTCTTGACCAGAAATGGCCGAGTTTAGCTCAGATTGGAGCTCCTCGATCTTCTTGGCCTGCACCAAGTTTTTCTCTTTTGCAGCCCAAAGCTGGGCCTCGGCCGACGCCAGTTGTGCTTGGACAACTTCCTAATCCGAGGTTATGAGATCTATATTTTTCTTGAACTCCTCGGCCTCAGCTTGTATCATGTCTACCTACGCTTGGAGCTGCCCGATTTGTTCAAGCCTTTGTCGAACCTACATGATCGGATCGTTAGCCACTGAGTCCAGTTCGTCGTCACTATCTTCAAATACTCGATTTACCTGCTCGGCCCACTCGGCATGCTCCTTCTGAGCCACTTCTAACTCGGCCTGAAGTTTCTCACTCAAAAGCTTATAAGTATCCCTCTTCTTCTCAGTAAGCTCCCAAACCTCGGCCTCGTGTTGGGCTAACTCCTCCCGGTATTGGAGGAAAGTCTCATGGTGCAATACCGAGGCCTGCAAGTATAAAGAAATGTGCTAGGATTATTTGCAACTTCAAATTTAAAATACATAATAAAGGGACACTCGAAGTTACCTGATTCAAAGCCTGTTGAGCTTTATTGAATAGGCAGGGCGCTTTCACCGCTGCCATCACGACCTGATCCTCTTCGGTCACCAAGCACCGAAGGTAGCTAGCAACCCCCACGGGGGCAGAGAAAACCCGGGCATCCTCCGGGACAGAGAAAACTATTGACTGCCTTCGATCAGGGTTAACGCTCGGGCCCCTACCAACTTTGGACTCGAAGAATACCCACTGGCCCCCGATGATGGTACCTTCTTTGGCACCAGTATGTTACCAAAGCCCAGTGACGTCCTCTGAGGCAGTGGACTCTAACCCATCCAAGAAGTTGTGGACATGTGTCTCCCCCTGAGTCCCCTCGTAAGAACGACCTTCTAGCATACCGGCCTTATGGATCATGGTATTTGAGAATTAAGGAGACCCGGTAAGATCAGTCGCCCCAAGCGCATCTTTCAGGGCACCCTCCTCTGCTCGAGAAGTGTCGGCCCCGATCTCCCTTTCGACTCCCCTAGCTCGGGGAAAAGTAGCCGCACCCCGTTCCGGTTCGGAGATCTCGGCCAATGCCTTCTCAACAGCTTCCCCAGCTTGAGGCAAAGCAGTTCGCACCCGAGCCACTAGCTCGAAATTGTCTTCTTCTTCTTCTTCTTCTTCTTCTTCTTCTTCTTCGGATTCATCCCTCAGTGGGCGGATTGAGTCTGATGGGAGGGCGCCGATATTTTCTTTGGGTTTGCGCGCTTGCCTCTTTTTCGGTCTCTGCTTCTCCGAGTTCGGGGATCTCGGGGCCCTTTTTCTTTTCTTCTCATCACCCTACCTCGGGACAGGAGACTCAAGAGGCATATCCTCATCATCGGATGGAGGCCTTATAGCAACATCCTTGGGGAGACCTACAAAAGAAAACAGAACCGATAAGAATTCGACAACGCAAGGAGAAAGTCAAACATTATTGAATCAGAAAAGAAAACTTACCATGATTACGGGCCTCCCGCCGACCCTTCGACAATTCCATCCATGCATGCTCGGAATATGGTCTCTGTGACACAAGTTCCTCGACCCACCCCTTGATTTGGGGAACGACATCCGGCATCTGAGCCATAGCTGCCCCACAAAGACACCGATAAGAAGGGAGAGAAGGGGAGAAACAATAAATAAAATCTTTAAGGCGAAGTTGTACTTACGCTTCATGTTCCATTTCTCGGGAAATGGCATGTCCTCGGTAGGGATCAAGTCCGAAGTCCTTACTCGAACGAACCGGCCCATCCAGCCTCGGTCCCGAGCCTCATCTATACTAGAGAATGGGGCCCTACTGGCCCGGCGAGCAAGTTTCATTAACCCCTCTCGATAGAGTCGGGGACTGTACAGGCGCATAAGATGATCGAGGGTGAAGGGACACCCATCGATTTTGTTTACAAAAGAGCGGAGAAGAGTCACTATACTCCAAAAGGAGGGGTGAATTTGACCGGGGGTCACCTCGTACCTCTTGCATAAGGAGATAATGACCGGGTCTAAGGGACCCAACGTAAAGGGGTAAGTGTAAATACTTAAAACACCCCCCACGTGGGTAGTAATTGCTTCCTCAGGCAAAGGCACCACCACTTGCTTGTCGGCCCAGTTGCAACCCTCTTTGATCTTAGAGAGGAGATCATCGGTGATCGTACATATATATCTCGAGACCGGCTCGCATCGACCCATTACCGAAGAAGTTTTTTCGACCTTGAAATCAGCAACGGTCGGGTACCCTGCAGGAACAAACCCTTCAATGTGTGGTTCCGCCATAGTCCCATCGCCGGTGGGTCGTAATGAGGAGGCGACCTCCTTTTGTGGGATAGTCTTAGAAGTTTTCGCCATTTTAGTGCAGAGATGAAGAAGAGGAAATTAAGAAGATACGCTTACAACAACAACAACCCAGTATAATTCCACTAGTGAGATCTGGGGAGGGTAGTGTGTACGCAGACCTTACCCCTACCCTGGGGTAGAGAGGCTATTTCCGATAGACCCTCGGCTCCCTCCCTCCAAGAACTCCCCACCTTACTCTTGGGATGACTCGAACTCACAACTTCTTGGTTGGAAGTGAAGGGTGCTTACCACTAGAGCAACCCACTCTTGTCTAAGAAGGTACGCTTAGTGGTTTGCAAAAGGTTCAAGAAATCTAGGTATAAAAGTTGGAGAGTGAAGGGATTTTTGAAGAACAAGAATAGAATGAGCTTTGAACGTAAAGTTTGAATGAATGAAAGTTGGGGTATTTATAGTCTGCTAATGACGGTTCAAAACCCGTAGTGGCTGACCAACAACTAACAGGCATTTAATGCCTTGGTAACTGGACCGACGGGATGTTTCGGTGACCATTTGTCGCTTATGTCATGATCGGATGTTTCAGTAACCGTTTGTCGCTTACATCATGATCCATCGAAGCGGGATTCGGAAGTTCATATCGTTTCTCGTCACCTTCTCTCTGAAAAATGAGGGGACTATATGTATACGGTCGAAACCGGGTTCGCCTATTGTGTGACCAATCAAGACTGAAGCGTGGCAGGTTAAAGTTCGATCTCGGGTTATATCGAACCAAGGGGGCGAAGTCAAATCATTGAGCTCGTGACCCTGGGACCACGAGGGAAATTTGCAGAGCCGAATAACAGAAGGCCGAAGTATACGCGATCGGTTGGGGATCACGGCGAAAATCCCGGCACGTATCAAGGAGAGGCCTATTAATTAGCAAATTATGAGATTTTTTACCTTATATGGAATTGTATCAAGAGTAGAACTCCCTTGCTATAAAAGGGGGGTCTGATCATTTGTAAGCGATATTGCAATACGAAGCACAAAGCAATATATTGTTATTTCTAGCCTTTATCATCTTGTTATTATATTCTTACATCAGTTGAGGTATTTCTTGGTTCGAGGGTGATCGAACTTGAAGGCCAAGACTGTTCAATTTATGTGGTTTGCATTTATTTTTTTATCGTCAATTTCGATATTAATCTGTTTTCTTAATTTGTAGCAAGCTATATCATGTATCCTTAAAACCGCATATAAATTCAATTGTTATCCGATTTTGAGGATAAACACCTTTAAAAAGTCAAATGGTATCGGCCGACGAGCTTTCGTTGGTGGTGGGCGATGTAGGAGGGGCCGGAAGAGAAAATAAAAAAGAATGAGAGAGAAAAATATATTTTTGAAAAGATATGGCTTCTGAGGCGCCTAAATTAAGTGGAGTACACTTACCATGCCATGTGAGTAATGTGTGTTTGACAGGTATAGTTTAACACAAGTTTAGTTGTTCAATAGTTACAACTCTTAATGTCTAAATGAAAAATATTGGCAAGTTTAAGGGGCCACTTCTGTATTTGGCATTGAGATAGGATCCAGCGGCATCGCCCCTGCCTTTATACTAGTCAAAGAAAAAATGGAAAGCTGTTAATGCCGAGTGGAAGAGGGCACGCACAAACAAACACAGATGGAGGTGGAATGGCTTCTTGTAATCCACGGCGTCGTGACACTCCTAGTATTGGTTTCTTTCCTCTGCGGCCAATGGCCTATCTTCGATGGCACTTTCATTCAAAAAATCCACTTCTTCCTCACCTTTGGTGTCTGCGATTATTTCCGGTATTTATTTTATTCATATAATTCTTGCTTGTTTCGGGCCCGATACTTTGTAATTTTAGCCCTAATTTTGAATTTTCAGCCGGTTTGTGGGTGCTGTTTTTGGTCAAAGAGGTTCCGATGCACTCTTCTGCGTCGAGTACTATTGTTGTGATCGTCCTAATCCCATCCTCCAGGTTTTTTCTTCTTCTTAATTCATCTTATTTCAAACCCAAATCAGTTGTTTGATTTATTGTAAAAGTCAATTGCTTTATCAGAATAATGTTGAAACTGGCCGCTTCATGATGACAAGATTTTACATAATGCAATGTTTAGTTTGTGACAGTGTAGCAACTTTGAATGTTTGGCATTAGCTCTAGTAATGTCTGTCTTATGTGAATTCTTTTGATAAATCAAATAATCAGTTCATTGTGATTGCACTAAGTGGGCGTTTGGACATAAGAATTGTAAAATTTCAAAAAAAAGTGAAACTTTTTTCAAGTGAAAATGGTATTTGAAAATTAGAGTTGTGTTTGGACATGAATATAATTTTGGGTTGTTTTTGAAGTTTTGTGAGTGATCTGAGTTTTTTAAAATTTTCGAAAAATTCCAAAATTCTATCTTCAAGCGAAAATTGAAAATTTTATGGCCAAACACAAAAAAGTGAAAAAATTCTTATGTCCAAACGGGCTCTAAGATGGTAATGAAATTTACAAGTAATTTAACTACTAGCTTCCAAATAATCCAACTCTATGTGCAAAGAGGAATAGACCCATATTACATAATTACAATAATAACAGCAGCAACAATAATAATAATAACATAATAATTAGTACTAGAAGTTCAAATAGGATTGAAAGACTCCTAGAAAACATAAAACCTAAAGTAAATGTACTAACATGACTAAAACATCCCAACTAATAGGTATCACCTATAGATCTTTTTCTTCCATTGGACCTTTCTTGGTACACCATGGGACATCATCTTGTGTTGTATGAGTTAGATCATTCTTAACTAAGGTAAACAAGTAAGGGCTCAATGTTGATCCCTTTGTATCTCCTACTACGGTTTTCACACTAGTGACGACTCCTTCATACTTATCCTTTATGACATTTATATATGTATATGAATTTGTTTTTTCTTCATCACCCATCAAAGGACCTTTCTTGGTGCTCTATCATATGCTTTCTCTAGGTCAATGGATACTATGTGTATAGATCTTTCTTTTACACCAACAGTACAATTAGAATAAACAGTAACTCTTATACCTTACCTTATCAAAAAGAATAAAAGCTAACACCAGCTTACGACAATGTGTTCCCTCTCTCTCAAATTATGTGCCATAAATATGGCATCGAAGCAACCTCGCCAACTCTCTTCAACACCTCAAAAAGACCAATAAACCTCGGGCTCAACTTGTCCTTCTTCCCAAACCTCATTACGTCCTTCATAGGCGAAACTCTAAGAAGAACCTTTTCACCCTCCTTGAAAGCTACATCACGAACCTTCCGATCCGTATAACTCTTCTACCTGGACTGGGCTATGCAATGCTTCTCCTGAATCAACTTCACCTTCTCCAAAGCATCACGAACCAAGTCTGTGCCCAATAACCTAGCCTCGCTGGGCTCGAACCAACCAACCGGAGAACGACATCACCTCCCGTATAAGGCCTCATATAAAGCCATCTGGATACTCGATCGGTAGCTATTGTTGTAGGCAAACTCCACTAAAGGTATAAACTGGTCCTATTGGCCTCCGAAATCAATGGTGCTTGCCCTCAACATATCCTCCAAGATTTGAATGGTTCGCTCGGACTGCCCGTCCGTCTGAGGGTGAAATGCAGTACCCAACTCAATCTGCGTGCCCAACTCACGCAAAACCGCCCTCCAAAAGTGCGAAGCAAACTGAGTGCCACAGTCTGAGATGATAGAAACAGGTGCACTATGTAAGCGAACAATCTTTCGGATGTAGATCATACCCAACTGCTCTGAAGTGTAGGAAGTCATGACCAAAATGAAATGTGTCGACTTGGTCAATCGATCCACAATAACCCAAATGGCATCAAACTTCCTCAAGGTGCGTGACAACCCTACCAAAAAATCCATAGTAATGCGCTCCCACTTTTACTCCGTTATATCAATCTTCTAAAGCAAACTTCCCGGTTTCTGATGCTCATACTTGACCTGTTGAGAATTCAAACACCTAGAAACATGCTCAACAATGTCCTTCTTCATCATCCTCCACCAATAATGCTACTTTAAGTCAGATACATTTTCGTGGCACCTGGATGAATGAAATACCGCGAATTATGAGCCTCTTCAAGAATCAACTCTTTCAAGCCATCGACATTAGGAACACAAACTCGACCTTGAAGTCGCAATACTCCATCACCAATAGTCACCTCCTTAGCATCACTGTGATGCATTGTTTCCTTAAGGACAAGCAAGTGGGGATCATCATACTAGCGAGCCTTAATGCGCTCAAACAAAGACGACCGAGATACAACATGAGCAAGGACTCTGCTCGGCTCCGAAATATCCAATCTCACCAACTTATTGGCCAATGTCTGAACATCCATAGTTAAAGGTCTCTCCACATTAGAATGAATGCTAAACTCACATGCTGTCAACCTTCCTGCTCAAGACGTCTGCCACCACATTGGCCTTCCCCGGATGATAGAGAATAGTAATATCATAATACTTCAACAGCTCCAACCACCTCCGCTGCCTCAAATTCAAATCTTCCTATTTAAACAGATGTTGGAGACTCTGATTATGATAACCCGTATACACCTCACAAGACACGCCATATAAGTAATGCCTCCAAATCTTAAGCGCGTGTATAATAGCTGCTAACTCCAAATCATGCACCAGATAGTTCTTCTTATGAGGCTTCAACTGACGCGAAGCATAGGCAATCACCATACCGTCCTGCATCAACATACACCTGAGACCAATACGCGAGCATCACAATAATCTGTATATGAACTGATCCTGAAGGCAACACCAAAATTGGACCTGTAGTCAAAGCAGTCTTGAGCTTCTGAAAGATCTCAACACACTCGTTAGACCACCTGAATGAAGCACCCTTCTTCGTCAACTTAGTCAATAGAGTTGCAATAGACGAGAAACCCTCCACGAAGCAACGATAGTAACCAGCCAAACCTAGAAAACTCTTGATCTCCGTGGCTGTAGAAGGTCTGGGCCAACTCTAAACTGCCTCAATCTTCTTCGGATCCACCTTGATCCCCTCACTAGTCACCACGTGGACCAAGAAAGCCACCGAGTCCAACCAGAACTCACACTTAGAGAATCTGACATATAACTTCTTTTCCTTCAGAACCTGATGCACTATTCTCAAATGTTGCTCGTGTTCCTCCCTACTACGGGAATATACCAAGATATCATCAATAAACACAATGACAAAAGAATCCAAATAAGGCTGGAACACACTGTTCATCAAATGCATGAATGCTGGGGCATTAGTCAAACCAAAAGACATCACCAAGAACTCGTAATGTCCATAACGAGACCTAAAAGCCGTCTTAGGAATGTCCGAAACCCTGATCTTCAACTGATGGTACCCCGATCTCAAGTCAATCTTGGTGAACACCCTAGCACCCTGAAGCTGATCAAATAAACTATCAATGTGCGGTAGTGGATACTTATTCTTGGTGGTAACCTTGTTCAATTGCCTGTAGTCGATGCACATTCTCATGGAGGCATCTTTCTTCTTCACAAATAGTACCGGTGCGCCCCAAGATGAAACACTCGGCCTGATGAAACCTTTATCTAACAATTCCGGCAACTGTTCCTTTATTTTCTTCAAATCTGCTAGAGCCATGCGATACGGTGGGATAGATATAGGCTGGGTGCCCGGTGCCATATCAATACCAAAATCAATATTCCTATCGGGTGGCATGCTTGGTAGGTTTGCACGAAACACATATGGAAACTCTCTCACCACGGGGACTGAATCAACTGTAGGAGTATCAACACTGACATCTCTAACAAAGGCTAAGTACGCTAAGCACCCCTTCTTAACCATCCATTAAGCCTTCAGAAAAGAAATCACCCTATCAGGAATGTGACCAAGCGAACCCCTCCATTCCAACCTCGACAACCCCGACATGGCTAACGTCACGATCTTAGCGTGTCAATCAAGGATAGCATGGTACGGAGATAACCAGTCCATACCCAAAATCACGTTAAAGTCCACCATATTAAGCAACAGAAGATCAACCCTAGTATCATAGCCCCCAATAGAAACCACACAAGAACGGTAAACACGATCGAGCACAATGGAATCCCCAACGGGTGTAAACACATAAATAGGAGTATCCAAAGAATCACGAGACATATCCAAATATGAAGCAAAGTAGGATGACACATACGAAAAAATAGAACCGGGGTCGAATAATACTGAGGTATCGCTATAATAGACCAAAACAATACCTGCAATGTTTGCATCTGATGCGACGGCCTCGGTCTTACCAGGAAAAGTATAAAATCGGGCTTAGCTTCCCCCTTTAGGACGACCTCTACCCGTCTGTCCTCCACGTCTAGTTGGCTGTGCAGGTGGAGTAGCATTTGGAGCGGGAATCATAGTCTGAGTACCCTGCTAAGGTACACCCATCCGAAGACTGGGACAATCTCTCACCATGTGCCTAGTATCACCACACTCAGAACAACCTCTCTGTTGACGTGGCTGCTGAAACCGAGTCTGCCTCGGATGACTGGAATAACCGCTGAAGAACCTTGTGCAGGAGGTGCACTGAAAGATGAATGTCCAGTGCGACCTGAGATCCATGGCTAGCTGGAGCACTACGTGAAACCTGAAGTGCGGACCGAACTGGTCGACTGACAAAGCCTCTATCATGACGAACCTTGCCCCCAGAGTTGGAGCCACTAAATCCTCCAAAACCACGAGGCTTCTTGACCTCCCTATCCTCCCTCTCTTGCCTCTGCGAATACTCTTTAGCCGCCTAGCAATCTCCATAGCCTGATGAAATGTAGTCTCAATCTCCATCTCCCATGCCATCCCAAATCTAAGGCTATTTGTGAGTCCATCAACAAATCTACAGACTCTCTCTCTTTTAGCAGAAACCAAAGGAGCTGCATAGCGTGATAGCTCTGTTAACCTTATATCATACTGCATCACAATCATATCCTTTTGTGGGATAACCCCCACCNCGTGT